GACTACATCCTTCATTAAGGCAAGCCAGTCAGTATAAGCAATGTAGTCCCTGCCCAGGCGACTAGTGAAGTTAGTGGGGACCGCGCCCTTGACCACATCTAAGCAAGATTGAGTGGACAATCCCAAACCAGAAGTGGCAAACAACTTGCTTAGATAGGTCTGTAGGCTTTTCATGGAGCCATTCCACTTGTTGTGCTTTACTTTGTCCAGTTGAATCCTTGCTTTAGCAGCAACATGTGGTATTCTGAGATAAGGAGTTCTTCGAGGGAGGCAACCGGGGTGGATCTTAGCCATTTGGCTAGTGCAGATTTTTGAAACCCAGCCCGCATTGCTTGGACTTCTAGGAAGCCCCGTACGACTGGCTCGACATTCATGCCCATGAGAACTGCCTGGGTCTCAGCTTGAGTCCTCATGGAGCTGATCCAGGACTCGATGTCTTTCTTGCCATCGTACTTGGACGGTATTTGAACCGCCTTCCGGCCCACATAGGGACTGGCGTAGCTGGGACCAGCAGCAGCTGGTTCCGGTCTTGGGGCTGCAGTAATTGCAGAAGTTTCAGCCTCATTGCTTGTTACAGCAACAATGGAATCTGCACCTGCTGCAGGTCCTGAGGAGGTTACCATCACACTCGAAGAAGAGGTAGAAGAAGATACAGTAAGAGGGGCAGAAGTAGTTTCGATTGCAGCTCCGGTCCCAGGGGGTAGAGGGAGAGGGTTGGCCACTTGGGCTTGTCGCAGGTCAGCCACCTCCTTGGTCAAGTCATGGTACTTGCGGGTCATCTCAGTCAGATCATCCTGAAGAGTCTGCAGCTTCGCAAAAACTTCAGCGATCTGAGTGGTATGGTCCTCAAGATTCCGGACTTGAACCAAGGCTGTGAGTATGGACTGCAATTGTTCCCCACACTGCACTTCGGTCAGTGAGGGGACAGTCTCTATGAGAGCCACTTGCCTTCTTAGCAGGGTCTCCTTCCTCTCCTTCTCTGTCTCCTGTTCCCGTTTTATAGCACCATCGAAGAGTGCTTGCAGATGTGGTTTCTCAGCATCACCGGCTGCATCTAACAAGGCCCGCCATTGTGTTGAAGTTAGGGCCATCTTTGGACTGTCAGTGTGGGCAGGTGGATCAGAGAGTCGCCAGACAACAAAAGAATCGATCAGACTCTCAAGAGGTTCACTCCCCCTCGCCCTTAGACGAACACTCCTTTTCCCAGCCCTTGCCCACCTCAGACTATCACTTTCCCTCTCTCCCTGTTCTCTCTCTCTCCTCTCTCTCTCTTCTGTCAAAGTGCGAGTCTCCACGGGCATCGGAAATGAACTCCGAAAAACAGATAAAGCTTAGAGAAAAGAAGGTAGAACTCCTAGCCGGAGCGACATTTCATTTGGAAGTAGAGAACAGCAGAAGAAACAATCAAACTCAAAGAGAGGTCTGAGCCAGCGACCCAGTCTGATCAGACTTTATACGAGGTCCTCTCGAGTCCAGTCTGACCAGCTCCGTGTCCGTACAACAAATCAGACAACGAGTAACCAAATGCAACAATGAAGAATTGAGTGGTGTAAGGGTGCGAGTCAAGCCACGGACGGTGCAATCAAAATGCAAGCGAAACGTCAAAGCCAAGATCCCCTCGGCAGTGGGTGTCCTAATCCAAGAAGAATGAACTCATATCCCAGCCAAGAAGACAAGATGTCAATGCCTAACCGAGTTGGGTCCAGAGGCTCTCCTGTTTGGGCCCGGTTCCGCTGGGTCCCAAGGGTCGCACTTGGTCCCAAGGGTCCCATGTAGGTCTCAACCAGGTCCCAACCAAGAAGAGTCCCACCTGAACTTAGTTCAGTCTCATCTGCACTGAAAAGCGAAATTTCAACTTCTGGCAGAACCTACAGACCACAACCGTTCAGTGATGAAAAGACAAAGCACTGTAGAAAGACTCGGCATGTATAACAAGATACTTCATTTTCCATCCATCAGGTGAGTAGGTAGATCACATGCATCCAGTCACACAATCAAGACCACAGAGGAGTAGGAAAAGAAACCCAGAGTACCCCAGCAGGTCAATCAATACCATACACACATACATGGGCATCCCGTAGGTGCACGGCACTTACCTGAGTGGCCTTGAGCTTCGAGATGAAGAGAACTCACCACCCTTCTCATATGGTCCTCCTGACCCCTCTAACGCTACCCCTACACTAGTGTCCTATCTCCTAGGAGGGTCTGACTCCAACACCCAAGTGCAACGCCGGATCCCCTGTCGATGCTGAAGATCAAAGTAGCAACTTGCAGTCCGTTGATGCAGAACGGCCGCTGACCCTCGAGCTCACCTACTTGAGGGCAGCCCTTAAGTTGCCAAGTGTCTCCCTTGAATCAGATTCCAGGTGCGAGTGCCTCTCACTGTCGCCTCTCTCAAATCGCCGCATGAAGTCTCCTCGAAATGTCTCGCCACCCCAATCTCATTCTCAAGCAACCTGGTTTGGGTCTATGTTGACCCCACATGACCTAACCAGGTGGGGGCAGCTTCCCTTAGCCACGCTGCCCCACTTCCCTCAACCATCCAACCCTAACCCTAAGTGTTGCCCTCAACCACTTAGGTTAGGGTTAGGGTAGCAAATTCAACTCTCACCAGCAAGTAGAATCCGCTCTGATACCAATGTTATGACCCTGACCAATTTCGAGATGCACATCCACTGGAAAGTACAATGCCATCCAATTGCAGAAAGAAATGAATGAACTTGAGAGGTGAGAGAGGAGTAGAAGAAGAAGAAGATGTACACCAGCAAAGACAATGACAAGGCTCTTCTTCTTCGCCCAACAGTCTCCTCCTCCTTATCTCCCCCTTCTCTTATTCATACAAGAAATAATAATACAATGTTGAATGACTGGTCCAGAATCATGTCCGAGTCCCTTTTCTACTGCAGGTATCACTCAAGGTCCACCATAGCCATGGCTGCCTCCCCCACTCTTCACACACATAGGCCGAGGCTATGGCGGACTACTAGGCCTCGCACCGACGTCCAAAGGACAACCCAGAGCAGCTATGGCTGCTCCAGCTYAGGCCGCCATGCCCAGCCTTGCCTTGAAGCTTCTTGGTGTAGCTCCCCCGGCTGGGGACTCCTTGCAGCAGCGCCCACCAAGGTGATGAAGATGGCTGCCACCATAGCCAGGTAAGTACCCCTGGCGCTCCTCCCCCTTCCTCCTTCCTTCCTCCTYCTTCCTCCCTCTAGTCCTTCTTCTTCCTCCCCCGCAGCGCAGCTCCAACCCAGCGCTGCTCCCTCCAGCGCTCCACCAGTGTGTCGCCAAACTTGCACACCGAAAAAGAGGCCGGGCCGGAAGATATAGCGGCCTGCTTTTCCCTCTTGGCGGTGACTTCCAGGCCGCTGGCCTTCCCAAGCAACCGGTACCTCTTCCTCCTTTTGGAGGGAACATCATTGCAGACTCTGATATTGCCCCTACAGGCCGTAGACTCAGACTGGTACCCGCTAGACCTAGCCTACACTACCGGCCTCTAAAAGAAGCCACGGCCACAGGTAAGTACCGGCCCTGAGGGCCCAACGAACGAACAAGTGCCCTGGCGGGCCACACACACACACACTCATACCAACCAGCACTCAGACAGGCATGGTCACACACACAAGCCAACCAGCACTCAGACAGACATGCAGTCCAGCAAGCACACACAC